TGTGGGTATTGAGATGGAGATGGCTCAGCGTGAGTTTGTGGTTTATCAGGCTTATGATTTTGACCTGATTTAATGATACGAGCCATCTGTTATATTTTCTGTAATATAGGTTTTGTTCTATGCAAATAGCAGGTTATTGTTCATATTATTATTATTTTTTGCCTTGCATTGGATGGTTATGTAGTGAACATGCTTCTGTGAGCAAACATTACTGTTTAGATCCGGACATGGCAAAAGGGCAATCGATGTATCATATCCTTGCCCACTCATGAAGCTGATAAATAGTTTGACATTTTTAGAATGGATTATCTATTTCACTACAGTAAAGCTATAATTTTATGATGGTTCATTTTCACCAAAATTTGGCTGCACCTCGACAGCAGACTATGTGATAATTTGTAATAGAGTCTGTAGAACTGAGCAACACACAGTTCCCAAAAGTGTGCACCATGCTGTTACTGAGACAAATCTCCTGATGCAGTATGGAGGGAATTTGTGTGGGGAGCAATTGCAGGCGCATTTGGAGAAGGCATGATGCATCCAGTTGACACCCTGAAAACAAGGCTTCAGAGTCAAGCTATAATGTCAGGTGCTAAGGTGTGGGATCGTTTTCCTAAAAATTTCCATTCACTTTACATGGCCATGAGCTGTAGAGTTTCTTGTTTTATTGAATGATTTTGACACATGGATGCCATGCCTTTCTTCACTTGTTCTGAACAGGCTCAGAAGAATATTTTCCAGATGGTCAGGACAGTTTGGGCTTCTGATGGACTGAGAGGTTAGTAACCCCTCTGATTTTTAGTGGAAAAAGAGAGTGAAAATCCTGGAACACTGTAGTATTAGCTTTGTGAAAATCAGAAAAAATCTCCCTGTGCCTGAGCCCTGAGATTTGATTGACCTTATTCAGAGCTCCAATAGTCATCTTGTAAACTTCAGTACGCTTGCCATATTTCAGGTTTTTACAGAGGAATTAGTCCAGGCGTTACTGGTTCACTTGCTACAGGTGCAACATATTTTGGTGTTATTGAATCAACAAAGACATGGCTGGAGAACAATAATCCCAATCTTAGTGGTCATTGGTCTCACTTTATTGCTGGAGGAATTGGTGAGAAATTGTTTACTTTATGTGTACTGTATTTTACCCCCCAGAAAATCTGCATGATGCTGCTTAAAATTTGTGAATGCTTATTATCAGAATGTTACTAGGATTTAGAGGCAGAAACTGATTTTTACACGCTGTCTACATCGAGTTCTCAATAAGTTATTCTTTGTCATTTTTAGTGTCACAGTCTCTGCATATTCAAACTTTTCTGTTTTTCTGCTTCGTCACTCATGTAATGCTGTATTGATATAATTTGTCTTTTCATTGGAATAATGTGCTGCTTCATTGACACCACACAAACTTTTGAATGCCCACTCCAGGAGATACACTTGGATCTTTTATCTATGTGCCTTGTGAAGTTATGAAGCAACGGATGCAAGTCCAAGGCTCCAGCAAATCTTGGGCACTAAATGCTACAAAAGGAAATGTTTCTCAATCTCCTGGCACTCAGATGTATGGGTACTATAATGGAATGTTCCATGCTGGTTCTTCTATCTGGAGAGATCATGGTGTGAAGGGACTCTATGCAGGGTACTGGCACTGACTGCTTGTTGCTAGAATAAGATCTTCTGTTTTCTGAAGAGAGAAAATGAGTTTAAACATATAGTATCTTCAAGGAGCAAATTAGCTGATTGTTCAGTCAATAATTTATTTTCCTCCATTCTAAAATCGAATCCAAGGAAGTATGCTAGCAGACTTGAATACTGTGATACAAGTATAGGAGTATCAATTTTAAAAGTTATCACAATTTTTTGAGTTATTTATGCGCACATTTTTGAAGCATGAGTATGTTTGTTCATGGAATAAACTTGGTCAACTTTTGTGTAAAAAAACCCTGATACTATTCTGCACATGATGATAGTCTATTTGTCACACATTTTAGTTTTGCTTCAGTCACACAACCATTTATTTCTCGCAGATATGGGTCTACGCTTGCCAGGGATGTCCCGTTTGCTGGCCTAATGGTAAGTGAGAATTCAGCTTATGCTTTTCTCATGTTCTTGTAACTTTGGAAACCTGTTCGCCTCTTGAAAGAAATGTTTATCTTTATGTTTGGCCAACTCCTATAGCTAGTAGGTAGTAAGATGGCTAGATCTTGGTCATGACATTCAACTCCAGATGTTGTGGATATTGGTTTTGTCTGACACTATTATGTCATGGCTGGATCTGTTCATTTTTAAAAAAAAACTGCTTGTGGGCTGCAGAAAATTTAAGATATTTTCCTTCCAATCCTTTTTATGTGCATGATCTTTGGCATCTCCAGGTAACTTTCTATGAAGGGTTGAAAGAACTTACTGTGTATGGGAAGAGGAAGTATTTGCCAGACAGTGATTTACAAGTCAGCAACTCTTTTGAAGGGCTTGTTCTAGGAGGATTATCAGGCGGTAGGTCTGGTCTATTATATACTCCCTCCGTCCCAAAATTCTTGTCTTAGTTTTGTCTAGATACGGATGTATCTAATACTAAAATGTGACTTGATACATCCGTATTTAGACAAATCTAAGACAAGAATTTTGGGACGGAGGGAGTATATTTGATAAATCACATTGTTGGTATCATGTTTCTTGAGAATCCCAAAGTGTTTAGCCTGTTGATTTACCACTCTTTTCCAATGTGTTTTGCAGGTTTTAGTGCATACTTGACAACCCCCTTGGATGTCATCAAGACAAGACTTCAAGTACAAGGATCAACAACTAGGTACATGGCAAAATCGGACCCTTGTGATTGACACACGCATCTGTTTTTCTGCTAGCCAGTTTGATATTTATTCGATGCACATTGATATTTTCCTCCCCATCTTTCTGTTAACCTCTAGAACCATTAGTTCTCTACACATCACCGTGACAAAGTTCATTTCCCGTTCCGTTTGATAGCATGTGATTTGTCTCCCAGGCTACTAAGTCTCTTTTGTTTTGTAATACAACAATCAGGTACAATGGATGGCTGGATGCTATAAAAAAGACATGGGATGCTGAGGGAGTGAATGGCTTATTCAAGGGAAGCGTCCCTCGGATAATATGGTATATACCCGCATCTGCATTCACGTTCATGGCGGTGGAATTCCTGAGAGAGCATTTCAACGAGAAGGCCGATACAGATGCGGAGACGGCCTTGAACTAGCCTACCTGCTGAGTCTGAGGCTGAGGTGCAAGAGAGAATTGACCCAGAGGATTTTTTGGTTTGTCTGACAGCGGAGTTCCATTTGGCTGATGCAGGAGTAGATATGCATTTTCAGCAATGCAGAAACATATGTAGGTAGAAGAGAGAAGTAGAGCTGGCTGTCCTTCGTTAAGTCGGAGATTTTTGGGAGTTAGAGACCAGCCGTCTTGGAGCTAGTTGCCTGTACCAATTCCATTTGTAGCCCCTACCATTTGTGCCACATTGAAGATTCTAAATGCAGTTGCGATCTATAGCTAGTATTCCTTGTGTTTGGCTTCTGAAGCTCTTAGTTTTCGACGAAGATCATATGCAAATGTTCAGTGTCATGCGTCTCATACATTTTCTACCTATAAAAATCTGGGCGGATTCTAGGCTGGTCTTGGGTCGTTTGCCTGCTGGGTTCTGGGCTTGGGCCTCGGCATGCAGTACAGTAGCAGGCCGGTCGGACTAGCGAGGCGACGCACGAAATCAGTAATTAAGACCCCTTTTTCTTCTAAAAGAGAAGAAGTAATTAAGACCCCTAAAAAAAGAAATAAGTAATTAAGGATCACTCTTTGCAAAGGTCACTCTCACCTTTGCAAGTTGCGACAAATGGTGCATTGATGTGCCCTACTTGTCACAAGCTATGCAGTGTGCCACTTGTCGAAACTTAAAAGCTTTCCCTTTTTTCTATCCGTTTATTTAAAATGTTTTATCTCCTAAATTGTGCATTCAAATCTTGAACCGTATCCACCATTGAATTCCTCGCGTTGAGATCTTCAAAATTAGATCCCATGTTGATAAGTTTTGACGAACTTTTTGTTTCATGAAAAAAACCGGACCGGAAGCACGTTTTTTTTTCTTTCCAAAAGAGGCACGAGTGTGCCTCTCACGGAAGAAAAAAAAAGAAAACATTTTTTTTCGTTTCCAAGAGGCACGCCGTGCCTCTCAAGGAAGAAAAAAAAGAAAACATGTTTTTTTTTGTTTCCTATCTCTTGCGGAAGCAAAACCGTGCCTTTCGCGGAAGGAAAACAAAAAGAAAACGCAATTTTTTTTCCGTTTTCGATCATGCCTCTCGCGAAAGCAAAATTCGTGCCTTTACGGAAGCAAAACCGTGCCTCTCGCGGTAAGGAAAACAAAAAGGACAACATATTTTTTTTCTGTTTTCAAGCGGCACGCCTCGTGGAAGCAAAACCGCACCTCTCGCAGTAGAAAAAAACACGTTTTTTTGTGCTAAATTATTTTTATCCAAAAGCTAAGAAAAACCGGTGAAAATAAAAAAGCCGAAAAAACCATCTAAAAAGTCAAAGACGTATGTGAAAAAATAAATAATAAAATCCAAAGGGAGCATTCAGAATGCGACATGTGGTGGCGGCTGAGAGCGCGCCACAGAGGCTGCCGTAGGAGTGCTCCTTTGTTAGTTGCTCCCCTACTATTAGGAATGCAGGATGCTCACGTGAGCAGCAAGGTACACGATCGATCGCTAGCTCGGATGCATACATATGTGCGTAGGAAAAACCGGGGGCTCCTATTTGGCGTATAGGGCGCTGTCTAGCGCCCTAGCGTGTACCCCCCACTCTGAATCGGTTGCACAGTGGGTTGGCCTAGTTTTTCCAGGATATTCACTGAATTCTCGCCTAGTTTTGGGAAGGTTTCTAGAAGCTTCCCTGAACCGGGACTTTTTTCTTGTTTTTTTGTTCGGGTTTTTCTTTTCTTTTCTTTTGTCCTTTTCTGTTTTTTTTATTTTATTTTCTCTCTTTTCTTCTTTACCTTTTCACATTTTTTGCCAATTTTATTTTAAATTCATGAACATTATTTTGTTTATCAGATTCAAAAATATTCAACAATGTAATGTTTATCGAATTAAAATTTTGTTCATTGAATTAAAAAAATGTTCATTGAATTAATTTGTTTTTATCATATTCGAAATTTGTTCACTTTTTTTAAAAAATATTCTTCAAATTCAAAAAAAAATTCATCATTTTTACAAAAAGTGTTCAGTGAATTCAAAATTTGTTCACCCATTTTCAATAAAAAAATGTTCTTAATACTGGACAATTTTTTCATCAAGTTAAAAAGAAGTCCATAGAATTTTGAATTAGCAATTTTTTTGGAATTTATGAACATTTTTAATTCACAAACATTTTTTAAATACGTACTTTTTTTTCCGGAAATCATGAACATTTTTCTAAACCAGAGCATGTTATGATTTCTGGAACATTTTCCCAAAAAATCATTTTTCCTTAAATTTTGAACTTTTTGATATTCAGATTTTTTTAAAGAAGAAAAAACAGGAAAAAACATGGAATTAAAAAACTGGGGCTCCCAACGCCGCTTATGGGCAGGCCCATGAGGGGCGCGTAGGAGGGGAGTGGGTGCGCGCTCGCATGTTCGCCAGTGCCCCACGCGCGAAATAGGAGCTTGACGAAAATCCATGCTTGCTCGTTTCCTTTCTTCCTGCGTCATCGGGTAGTGCGCCAGTTGTCGCAACCTGGAGAGATGCGAGTGACTTTGCAAAGAGTGCTCCTTAATTAGTGGTTTTGTATTAGTGAGTAACGCTTCTACGCAGGAAGGGGCCATAATCCTAGACATACAGAGAAATACGGGCATCTCATGGGCATCTTCAAAACTAATTAATCTCCACCTTCTGATTTTTATGGGATGGGCCCCGCCTCACTCCTTATTACAAAACAGTAAAACAAAGCTAGCTACAGCCATTCACAGCAATTTGACGTTTTCAGCTGTCGGATCTCACGTACGAACGCATCAGATTGGTTTACCCTCCCGCCGCACGCACCCGGATCTCAGCAATTTGACCATTTTAATCTATTATCGCACACATCATCTTCGGCCAAACGTGCCCGGGCCGCTGCTCCGAGGGACGAGCTGCGCGCTCTCATATCTTTTGGACCAAGAAACAGTTAATTGTGCCTTCATTCTAGCCCATTGTGCGGTTCGTTTCCTAAAAAAAGGTTACTCCAACAGCAACTCCCAAACCCTCCAGCGGCACGCACGCCGTCTCCACCAGCGGCGGGGGCGCCGGCCGCCGGCTCATCCCGCTGCTCCCCACAAGAAAAAAAGTCAGGCAGAACACCGAGCAATTGCGACAAGGTGGCAGCGGTACCTGCTGGCGATGGCGAGTAAGTTTGCGACTGCGATGGCGCATGGCAGCGTTCGTTTACGAGCGGACGAATTGTTTTGCCCTCTTCCAAGATGGTTTCACCATGTACTCTGTGTCAGATATTTTGTTTCAATCTCCTGCATGCCCTGCCCTATCTTGTTATTGATTCTTTACTGCTTTGGAGATTTTTTTTAAGGTTTGCTGTTGGTAATGAATTGGGGAAGAAAGCCCGCTACCCTCTGCCACAGTTCCAATCGAAAATCTGTATTGTTTTCTCCCTATGCTCCAAATTGTTCATTAGTGGTAAGAGTTAATACATGAGGTTCTTTTGTATGCCGACATTTCACTCAGTTTGCCTGTCTGGGTTTAAGATATGAAGTTCCTACTATGAGATTGCAGTATGCGTACCTAGCTAATTTTTACTAAATGTAAATGTTAGGAATGATTTACATCAGTTCACATGTTTTCATCTCTTGGTATTTCTTCCACTAAGTTGAAGGTTTGTCCTATGACACGGGAACCCACAAAAATTTCGTCAAGTTATGAACGATGAGGTAAAATACTGCTTCATTGCATCCGTACATAAATCACAAGCCAAGTGTTGCACGGCAATATGCAACCCTCGGTGCCATTAATTTACTTATGCTAACAATGTTTTTGTATATAAAATGATTTCAGCTGCTTGATGGAAGAAATTAATACACAGTAATGCAA